GGGGGGGGGAGAAGGATGCCGGATGCTGGACAAGGCACTGCTGGGGATGTGTGCGCCTAAGGGGGCGTCCCAGGGCTCAGGGTGTTGATAGTATTGGTGCAGTGTGTGTGTGTGTCTGTGTTTGTGTGTCTGTGATCCAATGCACCGTGGTGATGTGGATCATTGAATCAAATCCTTGCTGAGCCCATGTTTAGGTGGCCACTACCTGCTACTTGCTTCCCATCTGCACTCCTCCAATGTATTTACCCCAGTGTATGTGTATAGAAATGTCTTCTAGACTGTACACACACACACACACACACACGCACACACACACTCATCTCCAGTCAAGGGCAGGACCTGGGGACAAGAGCACAAAATTGACAGCTTTTCAGGCAGGTGAGGGATCTCAGTGCAGGAAGTGTCCTGTGCAGCGGAGAGGGGCAAAGCCAGTGACACACACACACACACACACACACACACCCAGTGAGAGTGTCCTCGTGATTTGATCCCCTTGACTGCTAAGAGACAATACTTTACCCAGCCCCCACCTCTGCCTCTCTACCCCCACGGGTCTCAGAAGCTGGGAGCTTCCAGTGCTTCCTGTATCCTTACTCCCTGGGAGGGCTTGAAAACGCCCCACACACAGTTGCCTGTCTGTCCCCCCTCTGCAACAGTGATGGGATGCCCTGACAACCCAGATCCCATTTCCAAACATTAATAACTTCCTTAATCTCCAGCTGGCTTTTTCCGGATCAGTCTGGCCAACCCCTTCCCTGATTGGCAGGCTGGAGATGCTGGGCTCCTCCGTGGCTGCCTGATGTCCCCTGGACCCAGCCTAGCTTTCCTGTTGCTGCCCCATTCACGTCGTTGTGTTGACACATGGAGTCCTGTCCCCCACAACACGCAAGCTTCCCGTGCAGATTGATAGTTGCTGCCCGAAAGTTCTCTGAGCTGCAGGAGGAAGGGGGATAGGCAGAAGTTTCCAGAAGGCCCTGAGGGAGCTTTGTGGTCTGCCCTAGACCCACCTGGCCTTGGGGAAGGGCACTGACCAATCTCTTAGAAGAGGGTGCTCCAGGAGATCTGCTAGGACTGAGAGGGAAAGAGATGAGGGGAGGGATGGATTTGCCCTCAGCAGAACCTGGTGTGCTGGAGAGAGTGGAGCTGGGGTCCTGCCTGAGAGTACTGCTGAAGACGGGGTTTGGGCCACCACAGAGGACCTGTGGCTACCACAGAGAGACTATGGCCACCACAGAGGAGCTACAGCCACCCCAGAGGGGCTTCAACCCATGGTCTCCCCAGTGAGAGCTGACAGTTGTTTGGGAGGTAAGCTTGAGTAACAATGAGATAAGGAGCCCTTGTAGCATGATGCATTTGGCTGTTAACCAACGGTTGGCAGTTCAAATCCACCAGCCATTCTTCAGGAAGAAGATAGGCCATCTTCTCCATCAGGAACCCAATGAAGGATCAGTTGAGTCAGAACTGATAGGAGGGGTCAGGGAGACAGCCAGGACCAAGTCTTTTTGCTTTTTAACTCTTACATTCCAGCTCAGACCCAAGGTTTGAAGGATAGTAGAAGGGATACTTCCAGAAGGTGACTTTTGAGAACTTCCTGGTGCCAGATCCCTTACAAGGGAGAGCGTGCAGGGTCTGCCTTTGTAAGGCTCCATTCCAGGTGTGGGGCTCGAGGCGGTGCGGAGAGAAAATCCAAAACTCAGATGATATGATGAGAGCCAGGGAGATTGAGGGGCTTGGCACATCCGGTGACATCTCATCCTTCCACCGGGCAGGGGAGGGAAGTCAGAGTGAGATGGGGCTTGGCCAGGGGGACACAGGGATGTTGGCAGATCTGGAACCAGGACGCAGGCTTCCCTGAGGCAGAGGGCACCCCACACTCACGCACACCCTTCAGGGAAGCTTGGCTGCCAGGCTCCCCAGACAGGCGGCTCGAGGCCTCCCGCAAAGGGGCTGCAGCTGGCAGGAGTACCGGAAATGCGGCCGGGACGGCTTTTATTTTGCTTTCGGGAGGATGGAATAATTGACTGTTGTGGCTGTGGTGTTGGTGCACATGACAGGGTGTTGTGAAACATGTGTGCGCGTGTGTGTGCGCGCGCCCGGGCATGTGTACTCTCTCACTCAGCAGGGCAGCGGCAGCCCAGTAGCTGGTGACAGTCACAGGGGTCTGACCCAGGCCCGTGGCCCGTGAGTGTGTGTGAGGACGCTTGGTGGAGGCCAGGAAAGTTAATGGTGCCAGGCTCCGCATGAGCTAAATTTAGAAACCTAAACCGAGAAGGTGAATGGTGCTCACCTTCCCAGCAGCAGGCCCCGTGCAGCCGCAGCCTGGCCTGCCCTCTGGCTGAGGGCCTGGGGGGACCCTCCCCTGGCTTGCCTTACCCTGTCCCACCTCGTGCTGATGCGGGGAACTCGGGGATGGGAGAGCTGCCAAGGGACCTGGGCATCCTCTTCCTCAGAGACATTGGGCAGCGTTTCTTCCTAAAAAGGAGTGCACCCATCCATTTCTGCTTCACAGGACCCCAGACGGCCTCGGGCATGGCCCTGAGCTGGGGCCGGCCATGGGACCCTCGCCCAGCCCCCGCTGCTCACGTCACTGGCTGCTGCCAACCTTGCCCTGCAGGATGCCACCCCCACCATCTGGGGGTGGTGACGTGGACAGAGTGACGTGGCCAGGCGCCTGAGAGCCGTCTGTCCGTGGCAGAGGGAGCCGTGTTTCTGGGAGCTGGGCCAGAGCCCCAGAGACAGCTGGGAGGAGGAGCCCATCCTGGGGGACAGGGATGAAGTGCAGGTCGAGGGGGCAGGGCAGGTCTTGGAAGTGTCTCAGGGGCTGCCAGGCAGGGAGCAGGTGCCTGGGGAGCTGGCTCCCTGGCGGTGCATCCTCATTGTGGGTCCTAGGACGTTGTAAACCCTGTCCTGTGACTCCCTACTCCCTTCCTCTGAGGCCCCTCTCTGGGTGGGTGGGAGTGTCCACTCCAGCCCCAGTAATGACCCTGGTGCTGTCTTCACAGGGCAAACGCTACAAGAATTCCCTGGAGACGGTGGGCACACCAGACTCGGGGCGTGGGCGCAGCGAGAAGAAGGCAATCAAGTAGGTGCCAGGCTGTGCGTGTGGGTGGGCACGTGCCGGCAGCCCGGGGGTCAGAGCTACCCCCAGACCCAGCCAGTCACACGCACTTTTGATGTCCCCTCACCCCGGACGCCGTGCTCTCAACTCCCCCATCCACAGCTCCGCAGGATCTCCAGGGCTCTGCTTTCCTGCCTGTGCCCACAGAGTTCTAGAGGGTTCTGGAGACCCCTGCCTCTCTCTCTTGGGCTGCTGTCTCTGGCCCTAGCCAGGGGTCACCTCCTCCGTCAGCCCAGATTGCTGATCTCCATGCCTGTCCCTGCATTCACTCCCCCGGTTACTCACCCGTGTCACACACACTGACCCAGCCCCCAGCTCAGCTTCCCTGGATGGGACAGCACCCCAAGCTCCTGCCCCGGATTGTATCCTCTTGCCATGGTCCAGGATCTCCGCTTAGACCCCAGTGATCTTATGACAGAAACCCAAGGCCAGTGAGCCAGCCCGAGGCCACTCGGGCAGAACTCACAGAAATGTTCCTTCTCCGCTGTCCTCCCCCAGCCCTGCCCCTCCGCTTACTGCCCCTGCCTTGCCCAGCTTTTCCCATTTCTTGAGAGTCCCCCTCAGGAGACAGACCTGCCTTCTCACTGCAGACCACTCTGGCCAGCTCGTTGCCCAGAGTCACTGGGGAACACCAAGAGACAGTCCCTCCTGGCTGGGGTACAGGGGCCAGTGTCCCCTTCTCTCTTGATGCCTCTGGGCCTGCTGAGCAGTGGCGGGCCCCAGGTCTGCTCTCTCTCCTGAGCCCAGGCTTCCTGGGAGAGACCCCATTTTAGGCTGGGCCAAGCCGGCCAGCTGGGAGGCGCTGTCCAGGAGCGGAACCCCAGCATCTCTGATCTCCCCTCCCCAGCCCCTTCCCTTTTGCCCCTCCTCCTGGTTGGTCTCCCCTGCCCCCACCTTATCCATCTTTCTTCCTTCCTCTTGCTCCCACTTTTATTCCTCTCCCCCTCCCTGTGCTCCTGAGGGGCCCACCTCCTCCAGGGTCCTTCTGCTGCCCCCTTGTTTTTTTCTCATCTCTTGCTCTTTTTTTTCTCTCCTGCTCTGACCCTGTTTTGGCTGGGCCTTCACAGAAGCTGTGGGTGTGTGTCTGTGGAGGGGGGTGGTAAGTGGAGGGGCGGGCGGGCTGGGGTTGAGGGGCGAGGAGGCGGCTGTGCTCTGCGAGAGGCCACGCAGAGCCTTTGAAGTTGGTTTGGTTGCACACTCTCCAGTCTTCAAAGCAGAGAGCTGGCAGGTCTCAGGGGCTGGTATGGAGCACCGGCCGCAGGCTTTCTGAAGGCAGAGGGACCACGTGGGGGCAGCACGTGGATGGCCAGGCCCTGTGTGATCTCCAAGTGGGGGGGAGAGTAGCCAGTGGTGGGAGGGGGCTGAGACTTGTCTCTGCAGGGTGACTGTAGCTTTTCTGCATAGGGACGCCATGGCAGGGCCAACGGTCCTGGAGACAGGCTTTCCAGCACGGAGGGCAGGTGGTGGACATTGGGTTCTGTCAGGCTGGCCTCCTGCCCGTGTGAGCTCTCTCAAGCAGAGAGGCCATCTATTTGTTAGATCCCATCTATTTGCAGCCTTCTAATACTTGTGACCCACAATGCGAGGCTGTCCCCAGCCCTGCTCACTCTGCCATCAGCCCTCTACACCCAGGGGAAGAAACCTCCATTGACGTTTTTGACGTTTACCTTCCCCGGAGTTCCCAAGCCTTTGCCTCTGCTATGGAAAAGCAGACAGGGCCAGGCCAGTGAGGGTCAAGGAGCAAGGCTGGCCCACCAGCCAGTTGCCCTAAGGGCTCGGGGTCTTCTCCAAAGGATCAACTCATTATCAGGAGTTCTGGGAACATACATACATGCTCTAGCCATGCTTCCCAAACTCTTCCTCAGAGCACTTGTGAATCCACAGGTATCTGTGCATAAAGGGTTCCATGGCCAGCAGGGTTTGGGGAACCGTGCACACTGCACTTCCCTCTGGAAGTCACAGAATCATCACTAGTACAGGCTCTGAGAAGCCCTGCAGTAAAGGAAGTGGCGTTTTCCAGACTAAGGCCCTCTTTTTCTGGTACTGGCCGGGCTCAGCCTGAGGGACGCCGAGCTGCTCAGCACACAGGGTAGCAAGTGAGGCTGCCAGTTCTGACCCAGTGGATCTTGTGCTCTGGGGTCCGATGGCCCTCATTGTTGGAGAGCTGGGGTGGAGGCGCTCCAAATGCTCCATCTCTCTGTTCTTGACTTTGAGGGTCTAACTACCCCCCCACCCCCTCCGTGTATGATACCCTGCTCTGAAGGCAGAGGGACCTCTCTGGTGGAAATGGGGTCTTCTTTTGAAGAAGCATACTCCCCTGGGGTTTCCACAGGAAGGGGCTTTGGCTCCTAGTGGCCTGTCTTGCCTCTCCCACCCCTGGTCCCTGTGAGCTGGCTCAGGGCCTTGGCTTTGGACCTGGTGTCAGTGAATCGTTTCACAGATAGCCCCTGGGCCAAAGTTTCCTCTGAACCTGCGGTGGCGGCCCAGAGTCTCAGGCTGAGAAACAAGAGAATGGCCAAACTCTCAGAGGAGAAAGGCCGGACCCCTGCAAGGCCATGTATGCTGGCTCCTCAGAGGGTGTTCCCTCCCACAGTGCACCCTCACTTGATCCAGGCCATTGGCATAACCTCAGGACACACCTGCCTCCTCCCCCCAATCTTCCTCTGAGCCCTTCACCTAGAGACGTTCCTGAAGGCCCGGGCCGGACTCCTTTCCAGATGTCCCTGTGATCTGGGACTGTCCCATGGATCCTCCATCTCTCCAGTTCTGGTCCTCAGGGCCCCAAGAGCCTGGCAAGCTGGTAGAATCCTGGTCCATCCCTTCTCTGACTGAGGGTGCGCCCTCACTTTTCAGTTCATGTCTTCTGCCTAAACCCCTTCAACATATCTCAGCATAGGAAAGTCCCTACATGTGCAGAGGTGCTACCGGTTTCTTCAGTATGTGCCATGGAGGATGGGGTGGGGAGCTTGGCTGCAGAGTCCATCCCAGATTCAGCAGTTCCAGCTTGGAACTGGGGGGACAGAGGGAGAGGCTGTCCCCAAGTCAGGCTGGGGTTGGCAGGTCCATCTTGATTCCAGGGGCCTAAGGCTGATCCTACCCCATCCAGAGAGGGGCAGGCACCCCACCCCAGACCCTAGAACAATGGACTGAGGCCCCTTTCGTGAGCCTGAGCCCCTTCCACGGGAGGCTAGTGAAGGAGACCTAGAGGTGTGTTCCCTGTTCAGGGGGAGGGAGACCAAGCCAGCACATTTGGAATGAACAGAGAGGGGCTTCGCTGGGGTGCTTCCTGTTTCACCTGAAGGCAGGGCAGAGGAGTGCAGGTGGTCAGCAGGGACCAATGGTTAGTGGGGGAAGAGGAGTGGGTGGGACAGGATGACCATCTTGAGCCATACTTGCCAGTGGGAGAATTGGCAGCTTAGCAGTTACAGCAAACCTTCTTGTTTGACAGGCGAGGAGACTGAGGCCAGGAGGGTAAGAGGCCCTCCCAGTCCTCCAGCAGACTCGTATAAAATCACATGTATTTTTCAGCTCGTTCTAGCCAAAGCCAGCACCTTCTCCCCACTCCCACCTCACCCTACCTCCAACCTTGTCCCCAGGTCCTTGTCCTCACTGTCCCCTCCTCTCACGTCTCTTCCCCCCCCACCAGCTCTGAGGTGCGAGGCTCCTGTCTGCACGCCGCAGTTTTTCTTTCTGTGCGTGTGTGTGCGCGCGCGCGCGTGTGCTGTGCGGCTTCTCCCGGCTCTGGAGCGAGCGTGTGCGCGCGCCTGTGTGAGTGTGTGTGCGCGCGCGGGGGGGCGCACGCCGCGGTGCCCCTCGCCTTTCTTCCTCCTGCAGGCGCAGACCCTCGCCCGCCCACCTGCCCTCAGCTCAGTGCGCCCCGGCCCTAGGGCCCCCTCTCCCCTCCGCCCTGCAGGACTTCAGTTCTTGTTTCTTCTTGTATCTCCCTGTTTTCTCCCCTCTCTCTCTGCCCCTCCAGTGATCTAGACAGAGACTTTTGGAATAACAATGAGAGCACAGTGCAGCAGAAATGGAGCTCCTACCCTCCCAAGGAGTTTATTCTAAACATTTCACCCTACGCCCCTTATGGCGACCCACGACTGTCCCTCAAGTGAGTGACTTTACCTGGTTTAATCATATGTACCGAGTTTCCGCGCACGCCCTCCCTCTCTCTCTGCTCCCCCCTCCCGGCCCCCCACTTCTCCCCTCCCCTCTACTCCTCCGCCCTCCACTTCCCACCCCTCCCCCCATGGGCAGGCTGACCATGGAGACGAGCAACCCCTCCTGCCCCCTCCCCTGGCCTGCCTGCCCCTCTCCTGTCCCCGCCCCCAGGGCCAGCCGGGCAGGAGCCCCCTCCGAGCCCCGCCCCGCCACCCTTTGACCCCGCCCCCTGTGCAGTCAGGCTGGGGTTGCCCGTTTTTTGGTCCCTCCCTGCGGTTGTGGCTCGCTCTCTGCTCCCGGCTGTGTGCTGCTGCCGTGGCTGCTCGGTGGTTGGTGGTCGGTGGTCGGTGGTTCGTGGCGGTGGTGGCGGTGATGGTGGTGGTGATGAACTCTGACTAACACGGCTTTCTCTCTCTCCCTGCCTGGGGGCCTCCTGGCCTGGACAGCCCGCTCTTCCTCCGTCGTTAACCCTTCGTTGTCCTGTGGGATAGAGTTGGAGGTGGCTGCCCTCCCTCCCACCCCTGCCGCCCCTGCCCCAGGCGGTGGGGAGGGGCTCCCCTCCGTTGTCGTGGTGCGTTGTTCTCCGGCCCCAGCCCGCCCGGTCCCCCTCTCTCCTCTCTGCAGGCTCCGCTATGAATCCATGTGCAGTGCTGACGTCTCTCTCTCTCTCTCTGTCTGTCTCTTGTCCGTCTGTCTCTCTCCTCCTCTCTCACTGTCTCTTTCTTCCTTTTATCTGTCATTGTTTTTCCTCTTCTTCCACCCCTCACCCCCACGTGTGGCCCGCCCTCTCTCCCCCACCGCCACCC